ATAACAACTGATGCCCAACGCTTGTCTATCCAGCAATTCCTATTTAGCTTGTTTCATCGACTCTGGTTTCCCCAAACCGGGGTAAGTGCAAATTCCTCTAAAATAGATAATCCTCAATCTGCATCTTCTAGAAACCAAAATTCTTCTCATCAAATTTGTTGATTTTCAACATTCTTTTTTTTGTCACCATCGATTCGATTCAACTCAGCTAAGCCTAGCTACCAATTGTTGTGAGAGCACATGGTGAAAACCTGATACCTTCACCTAAGGAGATCGCCAAGAGAGAGCCCAAATTCGAACCTGTCAACATATCCAGTTGGACCCACCTTCACTCAAAAGCTTAAGTTAATGAGTTAAGGGCCAACTATGATATATTAACAACTTCACACCACATCAATTATTTGATGTGGGACTTCTCTAACACATGTGTATCCTAACAATCTCCCTCTTACGTGTGAGCTCAGTATTAGGTTTGCTCCCATTTAATGTAAGTATCCTTCTGCATAAACTTATTTCAATTTGAATCTTCAAGTCATTACAATGCAGCCGCAACTATGCACAACCACCATCATCAACTGTTAACTTGGGATTACATCACCCATGGTCTCTATCTCGCGTCATCAGACCACTGCCTATGGTCTCTTCTCGTTAGACTTGCATTACCAGATCAACTGCCCATGGTCTCTTCTCGCGCAGACCAACCATGATATCAATTTCTACCTAAAACAAGCATTCATCAGGAGATTTTTTTTCGAGATATTCACCAAACACCGGAATAGATTGGGATGGAGCACCAATCAACCATCGACTCTAATACTAATTGTTACGGAAGCAAGCAATCGAACAATAAAATAAATCGAGATATCAGATTTACGTGATTGGGTCGTACAACAATAGATCAAGCGATATAACGGAGATAACAACAATACTCAAGTCACTTAAACACTTTCAATGTTTATATTTAATAAATCAAACAGTGTTTAGCCCTACAATTTCTTATAAAATAATCTCTCAATCTCGTGAAGGAATTAACAAATCTTAAACTCACAAGATTTACGCTAAAACACTCCTTAATTTCACCATGATGTAATTCTCGAGTGAAGCCTGCCTTGGATTGCTTGCCGACCAATATTAGCAAATACTAAAGTGACCGTAACTTTTCCAAGGATTATGCACCAACCATTTCTACAATCTGACCAAAGAGGAATATATAATATAATATTTATGGTGCGTATAGTAGTCAACTTCAACATGGAATAGGAAACCTGTATAAGTTTGTCAACAAGTCCAACTTGGACTTTTCCCATTTCTTGACCGTGACTTCAACAAGAATCTGGAAAGTGGATTCCGTATATATTAAGAAAATTTTGCACCCAATGAAAATCCAAGTAAGACTTCCATTCTTGATCTTGATTCCAACGCGGAGACAATCTTTATTTTACTAGTGATTTCCACACGAATACAATTTCCATATTTTTTCGCATACTTTATTCGGGTTGCGTTTTCGTTCACGGGTTTAACTCAAGACAAGACATATTTTAACACTATTAAAAATCCTAAATTATGCCTACTGTGTCATCAATATTTCAAACTTTTTTTTATGTGTCACCAAAAATTCTAAACTACACCCAATTGACATCAATACACCAATTTTTTTGTCACCAAAATCCCAAATTTGTACTAATATGACAAAAATATACGTTGTTCACCACCAAAAATCCTAAAATTTTTCCACCAAGACACCAATATCCCAACCATTTTTCTCGTGTCACCAACACCCCAACTTGTACCGTTGTGGCAAAATACCATCCGTCATAGTTCTGACCAAGACGGCCATAGAAAAACTAACGGAAGGAATTTTTGGGTCATTGGTACAAGTCTTGAACATAACTGTGACGAAAAGTATTTTTAGACCACCGATACAAGTTTGGAGGTATTGTTGACACAAAAAATATGAAATATTAGTGTCACAATTGGTAAAGTTTAGGGTATTTTGTGGTAGATAGAGGATATTTTTGTCATACTGGTACAAGTTTGGGACATTGGTAATACAAAATAAATATTTGAGGTATTGGTGCCACGGTGGGAAAATCTTAGGGTTTTTGGTTATAGATGGATTTCTCACACTTGTATAAGTTTGGGGATGTTGTGACAAAAAAACTGAAATATTAGTATCACAATGGACATGATTTAAAGTTTTTTGTGGTATTTTTCCTTTTATTTTCTCCACCACACACTCCTTTTTTTTGTGAATTTCTAGTTTTTTTTATCTCGTCTGTCTCATTGCACATGACAATATTAGTTTTTTGATCAGTAAAAAGGTGGGAAAAGACGACCAATGTCGGCGACTACTTCTTAGCATTACCATAGAAATTCCACACCTGTGACGGAATATTTGATTTGAGCCATGGCTATTACTAGTTACGAGCAAGCTTGTCAGCGTTGTCCCCACCACGAACCTAGTGAATATATAGTCGGATCGAGGGATAGTGATAATATCCACTTAGTATTATATCATTTGCCTATATTTTGGGCCTTGGACCCTGTCGTCTTATTTCTAAGTCTATGTTGCTTTTGGTTCCTATTTATCTATAGATCTTTCAAGCCTTCATGTCCATCCTAGTTACGTTTGGATTTGAATAAAGGGAAAATGACACAAAAAACTCTAGACTATGCCCACCGATACATTTACCCTAAACTTTTTTTTGTAACATCAAAAACCCTAAACTATGGCAAATCCGACAAATTTACCTTAAACTTTTTCTTGTGACATAAAAAACCACAAACTTGTATCTATGTGACATATTTAATCTCTGTCAAGGTTCCGTCAGATGATTTTTAATCAAAGCAACGTCGTTTTTATTTCATATAAGCCATGTAAGTATCATGCCAACATCGTTTGCTTTTTAGCGTCAATGTAAGCAGATTTTTAACGGTGCTCATTGACGGAACCTTGACGGAGGGTAAATGTGTCACACGAATATAAGTATGGGATTTTTTGTGTCACAAAAAAATAGTTTAGGGTATATGTGTCACAATGGGCATAATTTTGGATTTTTATTGGCTTTTGCCGTTGAATAAATTCGCTTTTCCGATAAAAAAATAGAGCAACCATCTATGCTCATTGAATCTTTTGTACTCATCAGTCTTAAAGTAGGGAGAGACTTTTAGAATTATATTCCAAGTACAAAACATTATCTAATTATTCATAAACTTATTATACGAATGCCATTTCAATTATAAACTTTCCAATTTTTTGTCAATTCAATCATAAACCTTCTGGCAAAATTTCAATGTAGTCATTTCGGCCAATTTTCGCTAGGAATTGTTGACGTGACCGTGCACCACGTAGGACATCCGATGATGACTAGACAATCACGTAAGTGATTTATGATGAAAATTAGCTGGAAGGATTACATTGGGATTACATGTAAAAGTTTAGGGCAAAATAGCAAAATTGAAAAGTTTAGAATTGAATTGACATACATATAATAGGTTTTAAGACTGATTGGGTAGTTTTCCCTATTCAAATCTTTTTATGCTATAAGCTACCAGACGTTGGAATTATATGTGTACTATTCAAATCAATATTCATAAAGAACACTTCTACGGTATACGGAATGTATCGTACGACATTACGATGTGCCGTGGCAATCTAAGTATAAGAATATCGTAAACTTGTTTGATATTGGTATGGTATGTCAGTGTAGCCTAGGTATCTTTTAAGGGGGACATCGAACTGGATCCAATAGAGACAAGAGTGAAAGGACATGAGACAAAGGAACACATATAAAAAAAGCACGACGCACGATGTGCACGTGTCCGTAGGGATGTGGTAACGAACTTGACAGATGGTGGGGTGTGGCTAGTCTAGGGCAACCGTCAAGTGCTGCGCTAATTAGGTGAGAAAAAAACTAGAAAGTTAGGCAGATGGTTGAGTCTCTAGTCCTATTAATATATATAGCAAATATTGAAAAGCAAATAAAGAATTGTACTGAATTTATTTTATTGAAAGTCCAATTATTTGTACTAATTTTTTCCCATTTTTTTGTGATTCTTGTATAAAATATCGTAACACATGAAAATTGAAATGTTTAACGACCACTAGATAAGATCAACTTTTTCTTTTATCCGACGATCATCAGGATGTTTGGAATATATTCCTGGGCAAACCCTTCTGTTTTGAGGCTAAGGAAAGTTCAAAAGAAAAATGTTTCTTACTTAGCCAAAATAAAAGAAATTCTTTTATTGTCTCGATCTCGTTTTTAATTGAATAAAAAGGTAACCACTCTTTAATCTCGTGAGTTTATATCATTTTAAGTAATTTGTCCACTATGACATATTTATCCATTCAGAACATGGTCTAATAACATCATGTACAATGATCTAAATATAGCTAATATAGCTAATGTAGAACCAACGAGCTTAAATTTACAAGGGAGTTCACTCCTTCCCTTTCGGTCATTCTTATATGAATAGTGAATACAACTAATTTAAAATTAAAACCAAGTCACCTTTATTGTACAAAATTAATCTACGGGTCCGTTTGTTTTACATAAAAAAAGTATTTTGAAAAATATTTTCCAAAAAATTGATCGTCTGTATAACTCAAAATAGCCAGTCAATGAAAAACGTTTCTATTATCGATAACAATTTATATTTAAACATTTTCGTAAAATGACGAAAAAAGTTTTCATTTAGCATTTTCATAAAAGATACAAACGATTATTTTTTAGAAAATGTTTTCCAAAACGTTTATTTTCTACGAAACAAATACACTTTAAATAAAAATATAAACCCAATGGACATGGAAAAACGTACAATAAGCTCTTAAAAAGAATACTTTTACCTATAGAAAATAATACTCATAAATTGCAATTTAAACAGCAACGCCACTAGAGACTTCTATCTCTCTCTCTCTCTCTCTCTACACACACGCACACGAAGACGCAACGCAAGTATCACCCCGCTTCACACGACAAGCAAAACCCAACACGCACGACAAATTCCTTCGACATCCCACAAAACCAAACCAAACCAACGACACTAGCAACCGGTGATAGCTCCTCCCTCCGTCCTTGACCATTCCCTATCTTTCCCTTTTCGTCCCAAGATTTACAGCAAAAATCGCACCTTTCCCCATCATCTCCCCTCCGAAGAATCGCCCACGTACGAACCAGACCCAGGAACCTTCCCTTCTCAACCCTCGCGATCCATTGTCGATTTCAGAGGTTACCCATCACACCCTTTTCCTTTCCTTGGCCTTATCCGGTGGCAATTATGGAGCTCCCGAGATCGGGGAGGAGGCCGCAGCCCTCGTCCGGGTTCTTGCTAGGGTTCCTGCTGCTGTCGCTGGTGCCCCTGTCGGCGGCGAGGTTCGTGGTGGAGAAGAACAGCTTGGCCGTGACGTCGCCGGACAAGATCAAGGGCACGTACGACAGCGCGATCGGCAACTTCGGGATCCCCCAGTACGGGGGCAGCATGGCCGGTGCCGTCGCGTACCCGAAGGATAACCGGAAGGGTTGCAAGGAGTTCGACGAGTTCGGCATTTCGTTCAAGTCCAAGCCCGGCATGCTCCCCACGTTCGTCTTGGTCGATCGCGGAGGTACCCTTTTGGGCTCTTGGTCGATTTTGGGTGTGCCCTTTTCTTGATTTTGAGCAATCGATCTGTTTTCAGCTGTTTCTTGATGAGTGCAATTAGGAACCCCGTTGTTCGAGTTTGTTCATTTGTGAGATTTGAGGTTTAATCCGGTTGTTTTGGGGGAGAGTGAGCTTGTGTTAATTTGGGTTAATCTGATTGGGTGTATTGCTTGCTGCCATTGGGAAGATGCTTGTCTTAATAGGTTTTTTCCTAAATCGAGTTTTTTTGTGGAGGGGCTTGATTTTTGTGCGGTAGAGCGAGTATTTTCTTAGGTCGATGTTGAGACTTTGTCTGTTCTCTTGGCTGTTTTGGCTCTAATGCAGTGCATTTCAGCTGTTGTTATTTCTTTTTAGCTCAGAGCGAATGAAAGAGAGAGTCAGTTTGAGATACGATAAATGCTTATTGTTTATTATGAGAGTGCTCTTTTTGTAGTTTTGATTCGGTATACCTCTACTATGTCATATTAGATAGGTACGTCAAGCCTTATAATATTGGTTTCATCTTGGTTGACATACAGTGAGTTTTGCATTTTCTTTCTGAGATTGACAAAAGTCCTTACCCTTTGGTTGGAAGTTTGAATACTCTTGGACTTGGTTTGTGAGCATCTTGATGTTTTATGTTGCCAAAAGGTTACTTGTTTTTCTTGATATATAACACAGACAAACTTGTAAATCTACATGGCTTGGGAAGATAAGCTCCCTTAAGAGTTATTTCCTAAATCAAGTTTTCTGTGGAGGGGCTTGATTGTTGTATGGTGCGGGAAGTATTTTTTTTGGTAGATGGTGAGAATTTGTCTGTTCTTTTGGCTGTTTGGGGTCTAATGTATTGCATTTCGGCTGTAGTTATTTCGTTTTAGCTCTGAGCGAATGAAAGAGAGTTTGAGATACAATAAATGCTTATTGTTTATTAGGGAAGTGCTCTTTTGGTAATTTTGATTCGGTATGCTTCTACTTTGTCTTATTAGATAGGTACGTCAAGTTCTTGGCTTAACTAGATAATTATATTAATTTCATCATGGTTGAAAACACAGTGAGTTTTGCGTTTTCTTTCTGAGATTGACAAAAGTCCTTATCCTGTGTTGGAAGTTTGAATACTGTCGGACTTGGTTTTTTTGCATCTTGACGCTCTGTGTGAAAAAAAGGTTGCTTGTTTTTCTTGATATTTAACACAGACAAACTTGTAATCTACATGGTTTGTGAAGATAAAACTCTTGATATCTGCCTTTTTTGAGCTTGATAGCTGTCTTTTGCGTTTCCCAGATTGCTTCTTCGCTTTAAAGGTTTGGAATGCCCAGAAAGCTGGTGCTTCTGCAGTACTTGTTGCAGATGACATCGAGGAACCATTAATAACTATGGATACTCCTGGAGAGGATGGTTCGACTGCAAAATACATTGAAAATATTACTATACCTTCTGCACTTATTGAGAAAAAATTTGCTGAAACATTAAAGAAAGCAATAAGTGGTGAAGATATGGTCAATGTGAATCTTGATTGGAGAGAAGCTGTTCCCCACCCTGATGATCGTGTTGAATATGAGTTATGGACCAACAGCAATGATGAATGTGGAGTTAAATGCGACATGTTGATGGAGTTTGTGAAGGATTTTAAGGGTGCGGCACAGATACTTGAAAAGGGCGGATACACTCAGTTCACCCCCCATTATATTACTTGGTATTGCCCTCAGGCATTTACCTTAAGCAAGCAGTGTAAATCCCAATGCATAAATCATGGGAGATATTGCGCTCCTGATCCTGAGCAGGATTTCAGCTCTGGTTATGATGGGAAGGACGTTGTGCTTGAAAACTTAAGGCAACTATGCTTGTTCCGAGTGGCTAATGAAACTAAAAAGCCTTGGGTGTGGTGGGACTATGTTACTGATTTTCAGATTAGATGTCCCATGAAGGAGAAGAAGTACAACCAGGAATGTGCCGACAGCGTTATTAGATCTCTTGGTAAAGAAATTAGTACATTTTAAACATTCCGTTTAAAACCTAGTGATTCATCCATTCGAGAATAAACCTATGGTGTTCACTCTCTACAGGCCTTGACCTAAAAAAGATTGAGAAATGCATGGGAGACCCAAATGCTGATTCTGATAATCCTGTTTTAAAGGAAGAGCAAAATGCCCAAGTATGTGTCCCTTGCTTCTTGATAATTACAGGAACTCTCTCTTTAACTCATCGAAAGGATCCTCTAAAGCAAATTATGTACAGTGGTTTAACCATAGAGAATATATTTGTAGGTTGGAAAAGGATCTAGAGGGGATGTTACCATCTTGCCAACTCTTGTTGTCAATAATAGACAATATCGAGGTTTCTCCCTTTCCTTGCCTATGTGTCCTAATTTTTCTCAGAAAAAGCTTTAGTTACATTATCTGGAACATCATCTAGGTAAGTTAGCGAAAGGTGCTGTTTTGAAGGCAATTTGTGCTGGTTTTGAGGAAACAACCGAGCCTGCTGTCTGTCTAAGTGGTGGTAGGTTTTCTTTTCACATATCTATCTCATAGATTTTCCTTGACGATCTTAAGTAGTTAAGTAGGATATCTGTTGTGGCAGATGTGGAGACAAATGAGTGCTTGGATAATAGTGGTGGCTGCTGGCAGGACAAAACAGCTAACATCACTGCCTGCAAGGTATGTACAAGATGTACTACCTATGCATTTCATTGATTGTGTACATTACGGTTGACCATGCTCTTACCATTGTTCAGGATACATTTCGTGGGAGGGTGTGTGAGTGCCCCTTGGTTGCTGGTGTGCAATTCAAAGGAGATGGCTACACCACCTGTGAAGGTACATAGAGCACGTTATTTTCTTTTTGTTTTTTGAAACTTGTCCTATGGGTTAGATTTTGAATATTTGTTTGGCAAATGAGATAAAGAAAAAGCTTTTCTGCTCCTGAACTTCTTTAGGGGCTTCTATCTCTTCCACGAACTCCATATGTGATTCTGTCAAATTAAATGTACTTGCATTTAGTAATGAAGTCACGATGAAATGTGTTTCTATATAAAATGATTGTGTCATGGATAGTGGGGGTTCTTTTGAATTCCTAATAAGTTTCAGGATGGGTGTCAGAGTATTCATAACTTCCTCTACCTCATAGTAAGTGTATGTGGAGCAGGAGAGAGGACTAGGAATCCCGTATATCTACCTTCTCTTTCCATTTTCATAGTTTTTGCATGTGTTTGCATGAGTACCGTAAGAACTGGCATGTGCATTTGTATGCAATCATTGTAGTTGGTTTCTGAACTATCACAAGGAGAAAATAAATTGCACCCAATGAGACTGCACAGCAATTTTCCATGTGGAAATAGTCAGTGGTTTTTCATTGAACATCTGATGTGTTAAATAATCACCTTTAGACTATTCTGAAGTATTCATCTGCGGTGCTAACTCCTTGGAGTCTCAAGTGCTAAGTTGCTTTTTATTCTCAAATATCTTTTCCTCTTTATGGATAAATGTGCTTTCTAAGTTCTCCCATTGATAGTTTCGCACCTGGTTCCTTTCAAATAGGAAGATTGGTGCTCTGTTAGTTTTATTGAAAAATTATCTTGCTGATCGGTTATCTTTTGACTTGGTATAATAAAGCCTTTTGAGTGCATGGTGAATTTTCAAGATCCATAGATCTTTAATCTCAAGCCTGGAAATTTTATACGGGAGTAAACTAACCCTCTGATTTTGGGCTAGTTCATATAGAGACAACCCTTCATAACCTATACTTACTGATATGGAAATAGTACGGTTTATGTTACTGTTGACTTGGATATATTTGAACATGATGCCTCATCATAGTGCGCAACCTATACAAACATGGAAATGAACAGTTGATCAACCATCCTTTGTGCAAGGGGCTAGTGTAGCTTTTGAAAGAAAACAGGAGGGCTCTGCAAGTTTTGAAAGCTTGCAAGAACTTGAACGTAACGGCACCCTTATAAGGATTATTGTTGCATGTACCAAATTATTTGAATCAACCAGAGACAATTAATGGCTCATTAGTTTTGACTGCGCAAAGATGAATGATCTCGAGATGTGCACTGTGAATAAATTGATGAAACCTTGATGAGTTGTATAATTGTGGGTTGGGTATAGTACTACGCAAACCACGAGGATATTCTTAGCGGGACTGTACTCTTCCCTAAGCAAAGTGCTGTATTTTACCCCTTTTCAGACAGATATAGAAAGAGAGCAAATTAAAATGCTCTGAAAATGGCTCTGTACCAAATTGTTCAGTACCATTTTACTGTGATAATCAACTTTTTGACTGCGATTTTCTGATTCAGTGAATTGTTGAATATTGTTCTATGCATCTAATGCATCTCATATTTTATTTGCAGCAAGTGGGCCTGGGAGGTGCAAGATTAACAATGGAGGTTGTTGGCATGATCCTCGGAATGGGTCGTACTCTGCTTGTTTGGTGAGTGAATTTCTAGCTTTCTCCTGGGCCTCCTTTCCGAATTTCCTAGATATCTTTTATATTAAGTTCAGCAAGAAAGTATTGAAGGTTTAATTCCTTTTTTGACTGTCAATAGGATTTCGGGAACAGCAAATGCCAGTGTCCTCCTGGGTTTAAAGGGGATGGTGTCAAAACTTGTGATGGTAATACTGTTGTTATGCACTCATGTTTTTCTCTATTAATCTATATTAGGAATTTTTCGACCACTCAAATGAAGTAATCCAGTCCATTGAAGTTCACCATAAAATTAATAATGGCGTCCTCAGTTTTCTTTGGTGGCTTCTGGAAACACTATGCTTGCCTTCTAGATAAGCCTGTTAAATGATGCCAGCTGTGCCAATTTCTGTATCACCTCCTCGTAACTACTTTCAAAGTGCATTTCTCAATGTCTTGCATGGGTACCAATCTAATTTCAGTGGTTATATCACTCTCTTGCATTCAAGTTAATGATAGTGAATGCATACTCAGATGCTTGGAACATTAACATTTTGTTTATATCAGAGACTGCGACAAATCTTGAACTGCCCCCCTAGACTAACTACTAAATTCCTCCCGTGTAATTGTTTTAGTAATGGGCAATCCTGAGCACTCTGCCACTTTGGACTTTTATCACAAACGTCTGTTACATGGTTTTTCTGTCCTTTATACCTTTTCCTTTTACCTAGAAATTGATGAATCCAAGAATAAGGCCTATCGTTGCCTGGATCTGTGCAGATTAACTATGAATGACTTTATCTTCTGTTATGTTTCTTCTTAACAGATATTGATGAATGCAAAGAGAAGAAAGCCTGTCAATGCCCTGAATGTAGCTGCAAGAATACCTGGGGAAGTTATGAGTGCACATGTAGTGGAGATCTTCTGTACATTAGGGATCACGACACCTGCATAAGTAAGCCCAGCTGCTCATACTCACAAGCATGTCTACCTTTTATTTGCTTTTCCTCTCTTTTGGGTTCTCGTATGATTGCTCTGTTGATTCATATCTGATGCACGTTAAGCATACGTGTCTGCTCACTTTGGTTGTTTGCAGGTAAGAGCAGTGCAGAGACAAAATCTGCCTGGGCTGCTGTTTGGGTCATTGCGATAGGTTTAGCCATGGCTGCTGGTGGCGCATATCTTGTCTACAAATATAGATTGAGGGTATACTTCTTATTCTTTAATTGTGTATCCTCTCTCTCTCTCTCTCTCTCTCTCTCTCTCTCTCTCTCTCTCTCCCCACAACCCAACCCCACCCCACCCCACCCACATCCCCCCCCCCCCCCCCCCATCTCACAAAAAAAAAAAGAAAAAAAAAGAAAAGACAGACCACAAAAGACAAAAAGGAAAAAGGAGGTTTACGCTGACTCTTTTCCCTTAATATGATTACTGGCATTGTTTGACTTTTCATCTTTCCTGTCAGCGGAGTCTCCAAGGTTTGAAATAATTAATTAGCACTGGAATATTATTGTGCTATTTGTGACTTCGTAGTCAAGTACTGTTTCAATTGACTTTGGTAGTGAAAATGGGCTTTTAAATGCCTATGATGAATTACATTTTGACTACGTCCCTTAAATGGGAGATATTGGATGAAAGCTACTTATCTATCACTAAAATTGTGAAGGTATTTTTTAGCTAAGAACTGAATGATGCTGCTACGATCTCTGACTGTTCTGATTCTCTAATCTATCTAGCATTTTTCTGAGTGGTTGATATTTTTCATTAGAGATCTATTAATTTTGTAGTTGCAACTGAGAATTGCTCTATTTTATGCGGGGAGAATCAGTCCTTGTGGTATACTTGTTACGTATCTGTGCATGCATGTACATGCAGATTTGTTCAAAATTACTAGAACACGCTAAAACAGACAGAAGGATACGGGGATACATGTATATTATGTAAATGTGCATGCGGATGCACATGACAAGAAAAAAAAGGAAAGAAAAAATATGTGAAATTTGCATGATAGCAAATAGAAGTATGCTCAAGTGAATGTTTGATTGCTGACTTTGGTAGTTAGGTTCTCTCATAATAATCTTTTTTCATATGGAGACATGGAATACACTGTTAGCCTCCGCTCTGTATAAGTGCTTGTTGAAGGGACGTGCTGATACTCCTTTTTTCTGTTGTCATCATTGCAGTCATATATGGATTCAGAGATCAGGGCTATAATGGCACAGTACATGCCTCTCGATAGCCAAGCCGAAGTCCCGAATCATGTCAGCGAGGATCATGCATAGAGAGAGAGAGAGAGAGAGAGAGAGAGAGAGAGAGAGGCTATGCACGCTTTAGTCTCTCGAAGGTTTCAGGCAACAAAAAGGATTCGGTTTGAGCGGACTGCCCTTAATTTGTCCATTCACATTTTAAACGTGAATTGTGTCGCTGTAAATGATGATGTGGCACAGAGTAATGGGTCACGGGTCACATATTTTTAGCGATTGGATTATTTCAGAGAGTGCTTCCTGATCTTGTGCTAGATTGGAAACGTTTCATGTGGAATGGGGTGTATATGACTTAGAGACAGTAGCTTCTAGGACTCTTAGTTTTCGTTAGATTGTTTTTCTGAATTACATCGAGAAGAGCTCCCACATTCTATATGTTTAAAGTGCTTCACTGTATACTTTGTTTTAGGCAAACGATTTCGTTCTTGCCTGAAATGGATGATTCCTTTTCCTTGTTGCATCATCAACTTTTTAGTATTTGCTATTGGAGTGGAGTACTCAACATGACCTTATTTTAGTTCTTCCATCTTGTGTAGCTGAAGAGAAACTTGCCCTGGTTAAAATGGATACAAGGAAATAATGTTGAATGAATTGGTCCTAGTGAGAACATGGTGTTTAGGAGTTGTAACATAGGTTCATGGGAGATTAGGTTCCTGGTTAGAAAACTTTCGGTGATTACGTTAGGCGATAAATGCAAATTAGTCTTCACATGAATGTCTAATGAAGTAGCCTGCAAACTTGGCTTATGTTAATCTAAAGATTCTAAACTAGAGTTGCGTAATTGGTCGATGTAGCACGGAAGTGCATATGTCAAGTTAACCTGAGATCTTGGGATGTATTTGCCATGTCAAATTAACCTGAGATCCTGGAAGAAGGTGGAATTGAGATTAGACAACTGAGAAAGAATTTAATAATTGGAAAGAGGTAGAGAAGATGGTGGAGGAAATTTAGTTCTTGGAGAGAGCTAGAGAGGCAAAACAAGGCAGGGAACACAAGCTCTCAATTCTCATTTCCGGGGGAAAACTTGCTGCATATCAAACTATGCATGGAAATGGGGTGTGATTTCATGTGCAAAAGATTTTGTCAGAAAGTTTTGATAAACAAAAATGAGAAAATCAAAAGTAAGAGAGTGTATGTGTACAAAATGTGTAACTACTTGGAGATTGAGAACAGGTTGTTCAAGAATTAACAGATGAAGCAGTTCTTGTGGATTGTGAAATTTTGACCAGGAACATGACTAGGATATACAGGATGGATCATCCAGAGATGGATGTGGTCTATATAATCCACAATCTTGAGCTACTTTGACATCATGGGAATTGTCCACTTTGAAATGCACCCTAAAATTAATGTTATTATCTACCAGCTTTAAGTAATGTTTAGTATTCAACTCTAAGATGATCTTAGAACCCAATGTCATGAGTTTGATCCATAAACAATCCTTTTTATCCATTTATGGAGTTATCCTAGTGTATTGGGTCTTATACGGGAGAATTACCAAAAAAGTTATAAACTTATTGCGCCGGTGACCGGCTAGGAAGAAGGGAAGGAAAAAAAAAGGAAGAAAAAGAAAAAAAAAGGAAAAATATAAAGTAAAAAATAAAAATTAGAAAAATTATTTAAAAATGTCCATATCACTGTTGGCCACGTCACGTAGGACGGCTGGCGTCCATGTTAGTGATTTCCAGTCAAAATTGACTGGATGGACTGAATTGGCGCAAATGCAAAAGGTGTATGACTCAATTGGTAAAAAAAATGTTTATGATTGAATTAACACAATTGAAATAGATTCACGACTTTTTTGGTAATTCTGTCTGTCGTATGCTATTCTTAAATTCGCATTCATTGGATCTTTTCTAGTATACCGGCTTTCTAGGGTCATGAATAAATTTGCACCATCTTTGCACGAATTGCGTGTCATTGTACATGGCGCTTTGCAAGTTTAATCTCTGATCTTACCACGACGTTATTAGGAAAAGAATTTCCTGTCCAGGTACAATGGATTTAGGATGAACAGGGTAGGTAGATCTTCACTTCTTGGATCTGGTGTGCTGGCAAACTAAATTATTTGTTTTTATAACTTCAGAAAATTTTGATATTCAGGAAACATTGTGCTCGTTCTTGAAGTATCATATTATTATGGGCCAAATCTAAAATGAATGGAGGACCGAGGAAGAGACAATGTAACTCAGAATCAATTTCCCTGTTGAGAAATTAGAACTCCTCAAAAGTAACAAAATGGCTGGTAATTTAGAAGAATCCCATTCAAGAAGCATCCGATTGACCTGATGATTCAGGATCATTATTCCTCATAGATTCATCTGTCAAGGAATGTCAGATGAGATTGAACATTTTAATGTCTATTTATGATAGAAAATAAATTGCAAAACCACCCTTTCTCTGATTGCCTTTCTTGTCGTTCCGGCGACAATCACCTTGGAATGTTCAGCTTCAGATCGAGTCCGATGTCCATTCCATTGTAAGCAATCGGGGCATACATCCACAAATCATCCGAGCTCAAGAGCTACACAACATCAGAAACAATCTCAGTTTAGGTTCGTTTCGTGGTTTGGTATTATGATTTTAGTATTTGGGAGACTGTCGCTTAGATCTTACCTTGATTTGGAGCTGCAAAAACTTGACATAGCGTACAGCTTCCTCAAGCATTGTGCTGATATCAACCTACCAAACAGAACACAACTCACTCTAAGAACTAGTTTCTCACTGGTCAAACCCGCGTTTTAATCGACAAAAAACAAACAAGTGCACGGTCATTGATGAAACTATCTACCTTGGTTCCATTCGGGACGAGTTTCTGCAGAGTCCTCAAACGTTCGTTAATCCTCTCTCTTCTTTTCTGTAGATTAACACAAAAAGTTCTGTCATTCAAGCAAGCAATTGAATATGATTTAACTTAGAATAGTAAAATGAAGCGGCTTTGTCTCTTACTCTAGCATAAAGGCTCTGAGGATCAGTGGCTGAGCCTCGGCTGGCTCGGGTTTTGCCACTAAGGTTGAGCACAGCTGGCTCCTTGGAGCTCGCAGTCGCCCCCGCCGCATTCTGCTCTTGAGAAGCACTGGATTCCTCCTCCGAGCAGCAAGTGCTTGAGCTCTGATTGTTGCCTTGAGCATTACCGTCTTCCTCATCTTGGCTTGGAAGGTCAAGATTTGCGCTCTTCTTTGACTTAACATTCCTCTTCATCTTTTGAACCTGCACAACCCAATGAAATCATCGGACCTTTAAAATGTCTATTAGCAAACAGATGTGACATTCACCATTGAAGAGTTGGCGAACCAGATAGGAAAATCAAAATTCTGTTTCTGTTTCTTTGGACTTACATTGCCAGTAGTCCGAGATCTTTTCCTCGCGTTTTCGATGGTGCCACGATTATCCTCTTCTTCAGCCACTTCTCGTTCCGAGGTTTCTGATTCTCCTTTAGGCTGAACGCCGGTTTTGAGAGAACTATCTGCCTGAGCTCCTCCTCCTGACTCTTCCACATTGCAATCACTCATTTCTTGGTTTAACCCATTACTCCATCCTAAGCTAAACGACCCGTGATTCATCGGTCCGGTACTATTTGCCAAAATTTCGTTAGGATTACTCAAGTAGTAGTTCTCCTGACCCGCAGGAGGGAAAACTATGCTAGAGCCACCGCAGTTATAGCTAATCGTTTGCGGGAAAAATTGCAAGCTAGAATTATGAGCGACATCGGAAGAACAAAATGAGCTCCCCTCAATCCCTGAAAGATCAATGCTCGACTCATGACTCGGCCAATGCACGTGTTGTGCACCAACGTTAGAGCTGCCCTTGGCGTCAACATGGAGAGGCCAATCGTTAAGCAATTGGGCCATGAAATCGGCCTCCTCGGTGGTGCAAACACCGCTGAGAGAGCTCCATTCTCCCTCGGAAACAGTCCCTAGAGGCTCCATTCTCAATTCTCTTTTCCTCTCCAACTATCAAATTGGAAAGATTTTCTGGTAGCCTCTAGTTTTGAACTGGAGAGGGAGAAGAAGAAGCTTGGTGGGTTTAGTTTATCGAAATGCTTGAACAGGAACAAGTTTCAGCATACCTATTTATACCTGCAGGCCTTAGAGGAGTGTCCTGTTTTTGCAAGATCTGACTTACATTTTATAATACCCAAGATCCCAATTTTTAATCATTCGATTAGTTAATTCGAGCGAAGTTTCTATTCTCCTCTTAACCCAATCCACACGAGTTGCGCGAGGCGACGGGGCCAAGTACAACACAGCTGGGGACTTAGTTTAATAGTTCAACGGCAGCAGATAAACAAGTTCAACTTCTCAGAACCCTTCAAAGGCCCTGGAAATGACACAAAATTAAGGAGGGATGTGAGATTCGGGGTCCTTCACGTAGAAATGCGCAAACCAGTGATTACTGATAACGACTTAACTGCAATTATTTAGCTTAATTAGATTTGTTAATCTCAAGAACTGGTCAATTAATCAAGATTAAGCAGAACAGGATAGAGACATTCGTTGGGGAGAATCTAACCTGGCAAAATAATCACAAAGACGTGGGGGGTCTTCTTGTGTCAGGATGGATATTAAATAATCAGTCCTTAAAAAAAATTATAGAAAAATGACGCGGGGGTGAGATAGTGGAGATTTTTTACAAAAAGGACAGCACCAAATGATTTCTGAGTTCTGACATTCTTGGAAAAAGTTTATTAAACTGCTCGAACCAGACAAGTTGTCAGCTTGATGGATTCTTGTCTCCTCCAATGTCCTCTAACTCTCATCAGGGTTCGAGCCTGCATCCACGAGCAATGGAGGGTATGGTTTGTTCATAACTTGAAATCCCACATCCATGTCAATTATGTCAATTGGAGAATGAAGCATTCTTGATGATGGTTTAGAGAACAAGGAGACTGACCAGCTGATCCTGTCACGTAAATCACCTTTTTCATACTCTGCGTTTCGACTTTCGAACCAAATCACTGGTCTTTAAACATTTTTCGATAAAAAAAAAACATTTAATGTTTATTCCCTGCTTGTTGATTTTGGTCCCAAAATAATTTCTTAGCATAAACAAAACGTATATCTCTGAGGCAGGCCATCGATATCCTTGGACGTAATTAGGACCCTTGTGATAATTTGAAGTACTCAAATTACATGCAAATAAGCGTTAGGAAATTGTAATCACATATAACTTTAGGTCTAATTCTTGCAAGTAACTAAATTGCATCCTAATAGTTTGAATATCTCTCAAATTTCAAACCGTTAAGAAAACTCGATCCAAGTAGGTTTTCTCGTTTGACTAGATTTCTAGAAAAGGGTTTCATATTTTAGAAACAAACATTATATAAGAGATGGAATTCTACTTGGTTATTACACACTAGAGCAAAATAAGGTGAGTGTTACAGTTTTCTCTCTAAGTTTTCTGCGAGAGATTATGATATAACACTTGTGCCTTTTGTATTGAGTGTAATCTAATATGGGGATACATTTAACTGACTGAGCAATTATGAGCTCCATATTATTCATATTCATAGTGGGTTTCATGAAGGCTAGCTCTCCTCATGGAGTAGGTAGCGATACTCGAACGGAACCATATAAAATTATGGTGTTCTTTTCGTTCCTCATTGATATCTCTAGTAATTATTCATCTTGCATTAGGCTTAAATTGCACGTTCTCTTAGTTTTCTCACTATTTTCACAACAATTGATATCAAAGTTAAGGCTAATATTTTCTAGATTTGATTTGGAGTTTTGACTTGTCTGATAATTGTATGAAAATTATGTTATTGTCATTATATCTGGAGCGAAAGTAGAATTCGAGAAGTTTAACGGAAGGAATAACTTTGGTTGGGGAGTATTAAGATGCATGCGCTATTGACAACTTAAAGCGTTGGAAGACATGTGTAAGAGCATGAAGTTTTGCCCATGATGCTGCGGCATTCTTGTCCTCAGCCACTCTTATTACCACCTAATCCGATAGGTTCAATAGAATTTATTTGCCATCTCCATTAACTTAGTCTTATCAACCTCTTTCAAAGTTTTCGGCATCTTATCATTGCCATCCAATGCCTTGGCCAAATCTTGGGTTCTTAGTAGCACAAGCATCTTGATGCCCCACAACCCAAAATTGTTCTTACCGCTGAACTACTCAATCCAAAAAACCTTAGCCTTAGCTTTGATAGTAATTATTATGCAAATGATGCAAAAGCTAACGGATCATTCTAGTCTAACGCGAGAAGAAAAAATTACAAGAAAAATCAATGATAATGAAAAGAACACCATATATGTGTGTGTGTGTGTGGTTTGGCCCGAATGTTGTTACCTACCCTATAAGGAGAGTCAGCTGTCAAGAAATCCCCTGCGAATCTGGAGAATACAGAATTTACAATCGTTCAATCCCTCAAGTGTGTCCTAGTCCTAAATCACACCCAAAACGAAATCTACAAGTATTATCTTATAATCCCTCACAGAGAATTCATCGACAAACTTGTTTTGCTTTAGTGTAAAACAACCGAGTAGAATTTCATCTCATATATATATATATATATATATATATATATATATATATATATATATAATATTTGTATCCAAAATAGTAAACCTCTTTAGGAAATATATTTAAATTAGAAAACCAATTGAACAGAAAACCACTCAAAATAGGAAATATTTTTGGATCGGGTTTCTTTTATGGGCTCAAATTGGATACATATTCTACACTAATATGGCAATATTGCCGACATAAATTAAACTAAAACTTATCCAAAGAATGTCTGAAATTTGCATAGCTTGCAAGAACAAGGATATCAATGTGAGAGTTAGAGAATATAATCACAAAAAGAAATGATTAAAAATTTCATTATTCAATTATTCTTGCTTCTGCTCAAGCATTAATTAGTTGGGTGGGTTTATCATACATTTTTTTTTCTTGTTGAGCTTGAGACTTGAAATTTTAAAGTTTGATTACAGTCCAATTTGTTGATTAAAAAAATTGGGAGAAAATTACCAAAAAAGTCGTAACCAATTATACGGATGCCATTCTTTCCTAAACTCTTCAATTTGACAAAATTAATTCTAAACATTTTTACGATTTGCCAAGATTTAGAGCTATATATATTGATTCCATTGAAAAATTTAGAACTTGATTGCATTTCGTACAAAATGTTTAAGACTTTCGGAGTATTTTTCCCAAACTTACAGAGTTAACATAAAGGACTTAAGTGCATTAAATTTGTAAAATTTTAAGAAAGAGAAAAGGAAAAGAAAATGCAACCGAACACATTGAAAGTGAAAGCTGGTTGAATGACTTCTCTTGATGGCCAAAAGAGGCCGTTTGCTTCAAGTCAACCACAAGTGCCAGCTCTTTCATTAGAAATGAATGTCAGAACATTTTGACTCCTCGATCGTGCAGGCTGGCCAAGAACCAGCATGAAGAAAAATGAATAGAAGAAAAAAAAAAACAGAAAGGCATGTATTATTCTCAGAGTAACTATAGCATATTATTTTTTGACCAAAAAAAAAACTATAGAATATTATAGAAATGTAAATTTATTACACCGATGGCTTTATACACAATTGCTTTGAGAGAGTGGGTAATTGTTTTACCAAAAATGTGAAAATCTGGGATCATTGTGATATTAGGTGAATAGGAATGCCGAAAAAGGAATCAAACTCGACAAATTTTATTGGAAGGGTTTTTTTTTTTCTTTGGACACCAAAGTAATAGGTATTGAAGTGCAAGTACTAGTAATTATGTTAGGATTCGGTGCATAATCACAAGAAAATCGAGAGTAAAAGCTAGAAAAGGAAATTGAGACATAAGATTTTTATCCCGATTCACCATTAAACTAGAGCTACGTTCAGCAAATGATTCCACTATAATTAACACCTCACACATTTATGTTACATCCCTTAATTACAATAGAAAGAGACTATATATACTCAATAGTTATTTATGGGTCAAAGTCCAAACTATCAATAAAATACAGGCCTAAATTATAAAAGAGAGACCCCGTGCCTTCCTATCGAAGGGAAGTATGACCACCCCAACAATATAAAGGTTACGAGAATGATAAAGTTATGTAAATTTAAAAGTGCTGAAAGGATAAATTTGCAGGAAAATTAAAGATGAAAGTAAATGTGCATAAGGATTGACTGGTCGTGCTACATTAACAAAGATTACAGCGTGGGCTTTCATGTCCTACCACCAACAATTATTTACAAACAATTATGAAATTTGAATTCAGAAAAAACTTTCTAATATTGTTGATGGTTATTGATAAGCAATTATGCTTTTCGATATTCTAGCCACAACTCTCTACCATCTCATGGTGATTATCCACAAGAAGTTACAAATCCTGAGATTATAAGCATACCATTGGCAATCATGTGCTTGTATCGATCTATCGGCCTCATTTCCAAGTCATATGTTGGCAAAGCTTTGTTTTATTCATTAATGACGCTGGTGCAACGCTTTGTCAAAATCTCCAATTGTTTGCTGTCGATGAATTTGTCAATCGATTGCCTTTAAGTTGCCGACCGGTGAAGTATTTCATTGATAACCTTTGCACTAATCTCCTCATCTTGTTGTATCAACATCCTATACTATCGATAAGCTTATCGCTCTCCAATTATTTTGTTTATCGATGACTTCTGCTTTGACCAAACTTTGTTCTTATCAACCGAGCTTGCTACCAACCAAGAGTTGGTAATTTTTTTTAGGTGTCGATCGTAGTTATGCTTCTATTCTCGGTAGAAAAGTCATTATAACACAAATGTAGGCTGAGAATGAGAAGATTCTACTCCTGCTTCCATTAAAAATAATGGTCCAACGTGCAAAATAGCTGGCGGAATTTGAATATATATATATATGAGACTTTCATTTAAATTTGATTTTGGTATTTTTCTTTGGGGAAAAAGCTAAGTTTTAGATTTACGCGTAAGAGAAAAGCGAGAAAATCGCCAGAATCTTAGGTTTGGACTGCTTCCACATTGGTTGGTTGAGCAGAAGCGACATTGGTAACACTGCATGCGTTAGTCTTTCTAAAATCAGAAAGAGATTTAAACTAAAAAGG